GATTCGCTCTGCTTGAACAATCATCCATAAAGGTTCGAATGATAGAATGACACATCAAACGAATTAACTTTTTCGGTGAATCCCAGCACTATCAATCAGTGCTAGCAAACGACTGAGTAGGACAAGCACATGTTACATGACATGCAACTGCTAAAACCACATTTTTCGCTAGTTTCTCCCGTGAATGCACCTGAATGAATGACTCACTGGTAGTGTTTGTTTACGCGACCTTCCTCAGACCTACGTAGCTCACAATGATCGGAAACGCCCAGTATGTTTTTCTCCCGGTTAAAATGACGTTACGGTCGAGGACAGGAAATGTGGGTCATTGAGGACAAAAACAGTCATACCAGTGATGATGACGGAGTAGACTAAAGTAACAACGTACAAAAGACAAGAATAAGACAATAGATNATTGAACTATTTGGGTTGTGGTAGGCCATTCGAGAAGAAGTGAAGGGATGGGAGTCAAATCATTTTACGGATGAGCTAGCATTGATTAGTGAGGTCTGTGCGCATCAGTGTAATTTCCAGGTGTTCGTCAAAGGTGACCATGAACTAATTTTGAGTGGGATTAATAAAGTGCGAAGGGTGAATGAATGCAAAACATCGTGATCGCTGAAGAGACCGCTAGATCTGAAACTAGCATGCAGGTTACACATGACATTCACGTAGTTACGAGCGTGGAAAAAAGACCGGGATCACTGATGAAACCAAATCAAACCGTGATGGCTAGCTAGGAAAGCGGATAAATCAAACACCAAAATGTGTCTGTGTGTGCGAACGTGCTTCAGATAGTGGGTGTGGGACAAACAGGGATGAGCTTTTGCTGGCACGCTTTTGAGGATAAATGTGATGTAACCATTGGCATAGAGGTAATACTTGGATTAGTTACAGGATACCGCCACCGAATATCGGGGTAAGTAGGTAAGTAAGCTAAATATAAGTGCAGATAAGACTGAGACGATGGACGCAGGGTAGGGATGGGATGAAGATGGCGAGTGAACCATATGCATGCACCTACCATTCCTGACTAAATGATGTCACAAGGTTGCTGCCACACACAGACAAACGAATACAACCGACTAGAGGGAGAGAGTGCAATGCACAAACCGACAAATGTCCCACCCGCCCATTCCCACGGATCGTGAATGTAAATATCTGTCTGCCCAAATTAGGATGTAAAAATGCGTGTGATGAGTACCGATGAGAAAGGAACTTACTGTGGAATGGCAGGAGCCGGATTTAGTCCACCACGAACTGGCAAATTGGGGGCGGGCCGGGTTGGCATCGGACGACTGGGGAATGTGGTGGAAGATGAACCTCCCGGTCCGAGATTGGTGTTACTGGCGGAATTGGATAAACCAGTGGGTGTGGTGGGTCGCTGCGGAATGGAAGGATGACTTCCACCAGTGGATGCTGGTAAGGGTCGCCGCTGAGCAGTTGTGTTGGATGTGGGGCTTTCCTGAACGATAAAAACAGCCAGTATCGTGAAATCGGAAAGCACGTATTGCCCCTCAAAGGCTAAAACTAAATAAGAACTGACTCTCAATCATCACTCTCCCAACACAATAAATAGCAAAGTTCAAACAAAACGGCAAACTCACCAATTCAAGCCAATCGTCATTTACCGGAGGAGGTAACGGGACACTTTGTGTGTTCGAAATCACCTCATTGATGATCCTCATTGCTTCTACCATGGAATCGTATAGACGAATTGTTTCTTCCCGATTCTGTTTCTCCGATGAGGACTCTTCCATGAGCAAGCTCTGTCCAGTGCAAGCGCACGCGCGCACATATACGAAAATTGGACAAAGGAATGGAGTGAGTCAAGGTGTGTCATCAACGTCTGCAAATGCAATATCCCAATTGAGTTGATTATTCTACGAATATGGACCATTTAAGGATATATGTTTGGTCAGACTGACATAACCGGAGCGTATTTGCTCCCCACTAGGGACATCGATGTTTCGTGGTTGTTTAGTCAGCTGACATAACTATGGTCATACTGCGTTCTCTCTCTCTGTCAACAGATTTGCTGCGGGCGTTTATAATGATAAATGCTAACGGGAAGTGACACGCAATTTGGGAGATGTAGAAGATTTAAGATAACAACGTGCACAGATGTGCATTGTACTGTGCTGTTATCCATTGGTCACAAACAAACTGACGAACACGCGATCGACGAACAAGGGATGTGGGCGAAATGAAGCGAGAGAGAGCGCGCGCGCGAGAGAGATGAACCCCAAAAATAGAACCGTGTACCTACCACAATTCGTCTTTATTTAGTGCACGATTGTGTTGCTGGCGGACCGCGGACGGTTCATGGGAGTATACGGAAGAAGCAGTGACGGAACGGGTCTCGTTCGATGCGTACCGTCCTAGGTAGAGAAGAGCAACTACAAACAGGGCAGGAGTGAGCGACTGTCGTGTTGAAAGTTTATATCTTCAATGCGAACCAACTCAACACATTGAAAATATTATCTCCTATATGTGAATGGAGGCCGAATAACATAACTGAGTTGACGAATGTGAATAGACGTCAACTGATTACTGATTCTCGAACATCAGCTTCTTTGATTTACTCTCGTTGTACTTTGGGAAGTCTCAGGCAGTCAGCTAAACTTGTGTATGATTCGGGTGGAGTGGGGTTCTTAAATTTTTGACCNACAGTTCAGTTATTCTGATCAATTACGAATTGCGTGGAGTAATTAAATGGAAAACAAAACGCAGACGGCGGCACCTTCACCGGACGATTACAGTATTTGGTGGAACCAAAAAATCCTGTTTTTCTTTCGTTCATTCAAGGAGAATTATACGAGTCAAATTAGCTCTTGTGTCGTCAAAATAAGCGATTTTCTGGTATATCAAACTTTTATCTTTCACGTCACCGGTTTTGACCACCACAAAGTGAGATCTATTTCTTTATTATTGTTGATCCCTCAATAGTGTATGACCTGATTTCAAATCTCTTCAAAAGTGTCAATGGTCCGCAATCAGAACAGATCACAGCAGGTGGGTATAAGTAAGCCATCCCCGTTACACTTTATCGAAGGAAAAATTGAAAAAGGATTGAATCGCCTGAACAGTTGGAATTCTCTGTTCTGCTGTTTTTCTACCTTAATGACCAGGAGCTAAAACAAATCATTGTAAAATATATGTGCACAAACTCTATGACACTAAACAGGCAAAAGCTAGTAATCACAGCAGCTCCACATAGAATAGGAAGTAGGAAACAGTGAACAAACCAATATATACCCTGCTGCGCCACTATTCCAAGCAAACTGCTATTAGTTTCGAAAATCCCATAAATTACACATACCACGCTTTCTCTCCGGGAACGAATACGAAAGAACGAGAATGAAATCCATAAAATGAGTGAAAGGAGGGGAAGTAACTGCAGAAATGAGATTGTAAGTCCCCCCCCCCCCTCCCACTCATTTATATTACACCAGATATCATCACAGCCTCGGTGTTGCCACTTTTAATTTTAACTATGAAGAAGATATGCGTAGAGTATCTATCGTCAAAGCAGATCTAAAACGCGTGGAGTTAGAAGCACAGTGAGATAATATAAAAGCAGAGTGACAAGAAGAGTGCGATGAGAGAGGGAGAATCCGCTTCAAATAACGAAAATAAAAAACAATAGGCAATTCAATGTTTCCACCATTGACGTCAATTTTCAATAATAACGACATGGCAACAATCAGTGGGTCAACGAGGTCGTTGCCATGATGACATCCGGTGTCGTACCGGTTACGAGAATCAGTCACGATTGTACTCCAACCAATTCGCCGTATCCAACGTGCTTATTTGGTATACACGATTTGCGCGGTATGACAATCACTTATAGTGGACAACGAGAGCACTTGGAAAAGCTCGCTATATAGAGAGTGAAGGCGACAGAAGGGAAAGCTAACTGCCAAATGACTGATGAACAAGTGGCTGTTTGTCCTGAATTCTACTGAACTACAGGGGTACTCAGTGCTCTAAGGATTGACTATTTGATATCGTAAAACGCAAAACACAACGAACTGATCTAGACTGTATTGTCAGACTGAACGACAAAACTGCTGCTCAAATCAGCCGCTGGTTTGTCAGATGGCAGTTCTTCATTTAACCGCCCAGGGACCGACTATTAGTTCTCGAAAAAGAGCATTTTTCCCTACAATTTTTCGAACTGCTTTTTTTCAAACCTCCGATCATACTTACCGTATCCTGAGTGTAAAGTGCGGGGACCAAATCGGAATTCATGTATTGCTTGAGCTGCAAAAAATACATGAAAGAAAAAAATACAGATCACAAGTTAAACGAACTAACAAATCTGCAACATTGACGAGAAACAAGAACAATGTCCACTTCACAGACCTTGAATGCCCCTAGGAATATCACGCTTAGCGAAAGTATCAAACCTTAAGCATAATAATAATAAAGCTACTTGAATAAACAGTTATTCTCGTGAAATCTGATGCATGTAAATGGCGAAATGTCGCACACAGACAAATGCAAGCAAAAAGTGGTGGGGCGTGAGAAAAAAAGGCAAAACGACTATATCAGCTGTCTGGTGGTCCTAGGGCGGGGGACGCTTGTGTTTCATTTGCTGTCCACAATTCCATCCAGTGAAGCCAGATAGGGTTCAAACATTATATACATATACATGATGCATTCCAGCTTTCCCTGTAGCACGGTTCCTTTGATATTGGAACGATGAAATCTGTTCTGAATTCACATTGAATTCCGGACGGTTTAAACCTACAAACAGCAATGCATGAAATGAGTCCTGATGTATACGTTAATATCATTATTGTTCTTGATTTTCTTTGTTTAATATTGAAGACAAGACATATTTGTGATTGTTCGATTGCGGCGGTTCGTTCGATTGTGCTAAGCGTAACTACTCAGAAGGGTATGAACAAGCGACAGTGTTTCCTCAAAATTTAACAGAACGACTTTCACATGAGCGATTGTCCAGATTGCATTTGCCTATCAGCGTAATCCGCGAAAAGCTGGTCCACGGGAATGAAACTCATTCGTTGGGTGTCGTACAAGGTCCAAATGAAATGTGTATCACTTCTTAATGACGAGATTCAGGATAAGAAAGGACTGGACCAACCAGTCCACTATTAGCCTAACACTATAAGATGCTATCTGTCTTCCGGTTGATCAATGAATAAGTAACTGGAAGAAGCAAAAAGGTGAGCACAGTGCCTAGATAAACATACCGAATAAGGGTACACTAACTCTACGCAGAAAGTAAGCAAACGGGCTACCGATTTTCAATCACATCACCTAGTGTCTCTAGTTAGTAGATAGAATGAATGCAGGAAACCTATCCGGGAAGTCCAATGCAGCCTTGATTGGGATCAGCATTGAAAAGAGGGCAAAATAATCATTTGGAAGAAAATTATTAGCTTAGTGCTGTCTCATGATATTAAACTGATCAAATTATCGCCTAGGAAGTTGTGTTTAAATCCGATCGCCGTGGCCTAACTTCTCCTTGTATAACAAGGCAATGATTTCAAAGGCCCATTTCTCACTCTTGATTAAGGAAATATGCATTCGATATCGGACGAAGTAAAAGAAAATTAAATAAAAGATTGAGTGGGGGTTCGAGTGATCTCTTGTCAAATTTCATATTCACTGCTCTGTCTTCTTTTTTTCCATACAGAAAAAAGGAAGTAGGCGCTCAACTTAACACAAATTGACTGCTACCAAAAAAGTGAAGGGACCCACCTGATTGATCAAGCTGTGCATGACAACTTTGGGGACCATATCACGCTGCGTTTTGTTCACTATTTTCATATACGAATCAACCAGGTTGCGTATCACTTCAATTTGGCGCTCCAATTTCGGGTCATTTGTTTCCGTATTGTCCCCATCATCACTCTGAAAGAGGACAGAATGATGCAATGAGTCTGATGAACGCAAAAAATACCACCATAATCCACTGATTAGCGCGGATTAATACGGAGCTGAGACCAATCCACTTGAGCGCATTAAGCGGATTCTCCGGAAATAATCAACACTGAGAGGTTAATAAACACCACTCATTGGAATGAACAACTCCAAGAAAAAAATACTAAGGAACAAAGATTGTATCGGAATAAAGAGATTGAAACAATGCTCTGAAACCCACATGCTTTTCTATCATCTTTTCAACGGTTTCACCGTTTTTATTGGAAATGCTGTAAGAATCGCGTACTAGATTATTGATATTTTAGACCCTAAAGCGCATGACCGTACAATGTGATCTGATGCTCTTTTCTATTACGATGATATATATATATATATTCAACATAGGCTTTTAGACAAGCATAGTGCTAACCCCACAACAATAATAACAATAACACGGGGCAGGTGGATCAGCAAACACGACAAAGTGGAAGGAAGGTGAAACGGAAAAATTAACCACCAAGCTCAAACACTCACAATCACTCATTTCATTCGATTCCCGTATTGCATAACTCATTGTGATCGTGATGCTGCATTGGGCATTAGTTGCGTCTAGAAGATTCCATATTTTTTCACCCACAGATTTCAGAAATAAAACTGTCCAACGATCAAATAAAACCACGAATTATCATCAACAAAATCTTCATAAAGTGCCATTGGGACAGGCAGTCACGAGATATTAGGCAGCTTAAGGAATTATAGTGCAATATCGATTTGACTGACGTTTGTCTCAGTAATGATTTGTCTGACATACCAAAGGATACACAATTTAGGTTTTGGTGACGCGTAGTTTTTTATTTGTACTTCGTACTTTATTTTGCCGAGTGTAGTATTCACTCAATTCTTTACCTCACTGCTTGTAGAAACCACAGCGTGAGGAAAATCCCTCCTCTGAATCCAAAACGAGACTACTGTTGTTCCCCCTCCCAATTACTCTTTTTCCGATCCTGTATGCACACGTTCTCTTCCGCAATTCCGCGTGAGCCCTCGTGTTAGTCTTTGTCAATGATTGTTTGATGACTGATTCTCGTGTCCATTGTCTTTGTGTGTCTGCCAATCGATCCCACCCATGTGATTATACTTGGACCAATAATTGCCCTTTGCACTTAAGTGGCTTTGTTGTGTCACTGCCCCGGTCCCTGACATTGTTGGTGATAATACTTGCGCGTGATAACTGTGCATGATTCTCATGAAACACACCTCTCAAGATATACGACCCTCTGTTCGTATCAACTTCAAATGGTAAAGGTAATTCTGATATCTTAGTAACTTATTTTCACCGCTGTTCGTTTTTTAGCTAAAATGGGTAGTAAACAGCTTCTCCCTTTTTACTAAGTAACTCAACTGAGACTGATGTCAAAACCATTTTAATCGTTGATAAACAGATATTTTAGATATGGACACTGGTTTCTGTTTAAGCTATATATTGACCAACGTTTCAATCCAGAAGTCAGGATTGGGCAAGAAATATCGGGAATCTGTGATATTTGAATACAATGAAGACAATAAAAGCATAGGACTAAATGCAACTATGAGCGAAAAAATCTGAAAAACTCCCATTAAATCCGATGGTCAAAATACTCACCGTATCATCTTGTTTTGTTGGTCGCTCGGGGTAAACTCCGGCTCGAAGTAATGCCGCCTTCCAAGCCTCTACTGCTTCTTGGGTGTCAGCTGACAAATCCAGTGTTTTGTGATCTTTGTACACGTTGGTTTTCGGATCCGGGTGGAAAAGAATGAAAGTAGACCGGCGGGNCGGCGGGAGAAAAATCCGGTATCTCCACTACGTTGCTTTAAACCGTCCAGTTGCAAAACGTATTTCACCTCGCGCTCCTGAAACAAAGCAGTAAAATGTAAGCAGTGAACGAAAAAAGATGATCAAACAAAATGACTACTAACAACGTATCTAAGTAGTGAGATCATAAATATAAAGTGAAACGCACCTCATCGTCTTTAAACCACCGCAATGTGTCCGCAGTAAGTACGAACCAAAAGTATCGGCTTCCGCCACGGAGCAGGTTTGCATTCACGTGTATTAGCCACCCTTTGCAGATAACCTGTTCAAGAAATATTGTGTCTGAATGAATTACTTTATTTACAGGCGGAATTAAATAAGTGAACGACACTAACAAAATTAAACGTGAAGCACTTGGGCGCAACCCCTTAAAAATATGCGGCAACAACAGAAGCCACAAACAACGGACGGATGATCCGGTTCAACGAACATGAAATCGTTCTCCAGTGATGAATACTGGCCGTTGCTGGTTTTGTGCCGTTGAGTAGAGGAAGTGAATTAACACGAAGGTATTCACAAAATATCTAACTAAGCCATACAACGTACACGTTGACCGTCCAGAGACGAATCAATCATGCGGATGCAGAAAAAACAACGGAAAGATTGCACCAGAATCGGTGGCAAGATCGGATAAGACAACTGATAAACGTGCACAAAACAACATTAACGAAACGGAGACGCATGAAACAAAAGCTAATTTTCGATTAGGATGGAGGGGACGAACCTCATTCTGGAAGGCGTCATAGGACGAACCAACTTGTAAAAAGGATAATCAATCTGAAATGACGGAGGGAAGAATCGAACAGGGGCGAATCTTCCATAACATTTATGATTTGACATATTGTTTCAATGGAAAGACACTATTTACGAAGATGGTAGTGATCCTGGCGGGATGTGCACTCTAAAAGAATTCAAACCAACGAGTTTTTTGTGTGGTTGTTTTCCAGATGGATGTGGTGATAGTTTACTTACATGTTTTTATTTGATGGGCTGTTTGAACGGAATGAGTTGGATTCATGGAGATCATTATTCTTCAAGAGAAGAAAACCCAGTCCCAGCATCACTCTATTTTGCTTAAGGATACTTCTGGAGCTAAGTGCGGACTGCAAGCAAGTAGTGCGTTGGCGTAAGCCTTCTAATGGTTCTCTGGAAGTTCGTTTGTCAAACTGATGTGGAGACGAATGGGGTTTCCATACACTTATATCATTTGGGGAGATTTCTTTTATATCCACTGGAGCAGACAAATCTCGTCCACTGATTTATAAATCACTGCTATAAGGCACCTCATCAAGGCCTTAAGACCTCGATTCTGGACGACTGGTGTGTTGAGCGCTTTGTCGAGGCATATTCACTGACCTACGCCTTAACCTCTTAGATTCGTAGATAAGATTGTGCCAAATGATGGAAACTAGAGGGAAACAGTCTGCCAGCTCAGAGGTGCTTCTTTTATCGGATATTTCTCAGCCGAGCTATGGTTCAGGAGTCAAGATCACCATCACATTTATTCCAAGGTTCTGTGTTTAAATCCTATCGTCTAAAACAGGTCAAGATTTTCAATTACGTCCTGTTACTTTTGTACATTCTTTCCGTTGGCGAACATACAGTCATACAGTGGGGTTGTGAGCAATCAAAAGCTGTTTTGGGAAATACTCAGAAACGGAAGAGATGAGTGGCGGTAGCGGGCATTCGAACATATGATCTCCGGGTTGTTGTAAAGATGACACTCAACCAATGACCAACACCATCATTAGTACTCTACTAAACAAAAATGGATTTTAATTTTGCACATATAATGGATGAAAGTAAGCAGAAAAGTGTTGCAAACCTGACTTTATTTCTTCCAATTCTTTTATCCACACGAAAGGAGCATTGTTTGCATCGAATAAAAGCTAAAACATGATTAATTCCAAGTGACATCCGGGTAACTTGTGCACCAAAATAGATGTTTTAATTGAAGTGAAGGCAACAAACAGATCACAAAAGTAATTTTTGTGGTGCTATCTACTGGAAATAAAACACCTGTAAACAAATCCGAAAATCCACTATTAGCTACGAAAGAATAGTCAGGTGAACGAACGCACGCGCGCGAGAGAGAGAAAGATAAGTGAAATAACAGAGTTCGGCGGGAGAGGGGGACGGAAACGAACCTGATTGCCCAACTTTCCCTTCGAGCCGTCCGCAGCCTTCTGTTCAGCACTGATTTAGATCGAACCAGCAGCAAGTGGAGGAGTACCATACCACGGATTGCAGGAATAGGGCAGGGTCAGAATGAATAGAACAAGGAATGTTAGGGATGACTAAGCAGAGTGCGATACGCGAAACGAAACAAGTTGTCCACACAACAAATATCAAACAATACACTTTACACATACACGAGTTCATGTCAAAAGGTGCATCACCATCTACTGATGCAGGGAGGACTGAACCACTGTCAAATAGAATCACGGACGGAGAAATCGAAGTACCAAAACAGTTGAAAAGGTTACACTGAAGCTTTCGCCTGGGAACAACTTTCAGGTAGCAAACTGCTTTCTGTTTTGGCCTGTTTTGGTAATTTACGATTACTTTCAAAATTTGACACTGTCGTTTAAATGAAAAAATCAAGCTCTGACAGAGTCACCGTTTTACCCGGATAACACATAGATGCTCAATGTAGATTGTACACAGGTTAGCTTATAGCAAAATATACAGTGAATTTACCAAGATAAAAGAACAACACACGAATGGTGTGCGATTTCACAGCAGCGGTCTGGTTTCTAACTAAAAAATAAATTGTCTGTTTTGTAGTGTGACGTGTGCTCATTCAAGTGTATCTGTGAGACAACGTATATTCACCGCATGACCAGATGTTTATCCGAGCAGGTGAACGAACAGCAAACGGTTTGATAGAGTCAAACCACGTGAACAATGTGGGTGAGACTTTCCTTTCGATTACTCTATCTGAATCAGAATCATCGATTTCATGAGATTAGCCATCGCATCTTGCACACAGTGATGGCGAACGAAATATGACTAAAAATTCATTCTCGCGTCCCCTTCATAACCCAAAGTAGTTTACACGCGTAATGCCCGGAATGTGAGCAACATACGGTCATGGAACTGAAATCGGCGCTCTTATCAATTTGTAAATATAGTCCATATTCTCTAGAGAACAGTATGCTATGAGTTGCGATGTACACTTGCCAGCGGAAAAA